TAGACTGAGAGATCAAGACAAGCGTTGGAGTTTTTCTTGTTCTATCTGATTTAGCAAGAAGATCAAGAGCTCCATGTGCAAGCTCAAGTAACTGGAGATCAACGAAGAGGATTTTCGCCTCGGAGTGTTCGAGCAAAATCGACAATGTGGAAGGATCGAGACGAGTATTAAGCGGACAGAGAATCAAACCAGCCATTGGAACAGAGAAATGAAGCTCTTGCATTGCTGGAACATTTGGCGCTAAAGCTGCAACCTAATAGAGATCCTCACTTTACCACAAAAACCTAACCCTTTCTTCGGATTTCAAATAAAGATGAGAAATTGAACAGATTTAAGAGACTAACCACGTCGCCGGGAGAGATTCCGAGGTGGGTAAGAGCAGAGGAAAGACGGAGACAACGTTGATAGGTTTGGAACCAAGTGTACTTGACGGAACCAAACACAAGAGAGGTTTTGTCTCTGTAAACCTTGGCGGATCGCTCCAAGAAGGTGATTGGGGATAAAGGGGAGAAATTTGCAGGGCATCGGAGAAGACCCTCCATCGTTCTCCATGATTCCGGTTTGGAATCGTCGGAAAATCCGCCTCCGGAATCTGAGGTTGAGAAGGAAGAGTGGGTCAACCATAACGGTCTCGGAAAACTTGGGGTGAAGATTTTGAATGCTCTTTTGGTCCACAAGAATCTCATGGTGTGAATTAATTGCCTTTGTTCGATTTCTCGAATTGAAGAAACTTTGGTCTTTTAAACTGATCAAGATTTTGATTATAGTTTTTATGATTGCTTTATTTATTATGAAACTGATCGTGATGAACGTTGTCAAGTGTGATTTGTTAAACTGACAAAAAATCTTCGAATTATCCATTTTTATAACACGAGTTTCGTCGTGAGCCACATTTGGATAGACGCTTGTTCAATGCAATACATTCCAATAAATCTTTGCCAGTAAAATCGAGTGATTCTTTAACCAAATAAGATACACTCGTTGACTTAACCCGTTGTTTGAATCTTTTACCTAAGGAAATCATTTTGAAGAAGCAAAATTGAGTGATTTCTTCATAAAGCTCGACAAATTGACTTAACCAAAAATAATGAGAAGCAATGATGATTAGTCTATTTTTCTTTACCGTGGTGAGTATTTGAAAATGGAGTGCAGTCTTCAGAGAGTACTTGTATTCCCCTTTGATTTTGAATTTAGAGTCCTCACTTCTACTCTGAAACTGTATACTCACATGGTCATAGTTGAGTTAAGGTAGAACGAAACAACAATCGAATACTACCAGACTCAAATGTAGTGATGTTTTGAGTCAGTGGGATCAAAGTGCTTCTTGAGTCTGTCTATGAACCGACAACATACCAAGATGTCGATTGATGTGGAAATCCGTATGACAACAACCACGACGCAAGCCCTAAATCTGAATTAAGAATGGTTTGGAGAGGAATGTTTGTTAGAGAATATAGAAGTTTTGGATCCACCAAGGAACCTCTTCAATCCCTGTATTGTTTAGATTGAGACTTGAGATGTTGGTTGAGATATCAGGAAAACTCCTCAACCGTGAACATCCCCTAAGATCCAGACTAAAGAGATATTGAAAGTTCATGCCAATGGGAAGAGTCTCCGGATTTATGCAATCCATAATGCTCAAAATCTCCAGTTTATTAAGATTCTGAAGAAAAGAAGGAACCCTTATCAAACTTTGGATATCAGAGAGATACAACTTCTTCAAAGAGGGAGACAACATGGTCAAAAGGGGTGTAAGCGGATGAACCAAAAATACAAATTGAAAATGTTAAATGAAATCACCAAAAATAATCACTTTATTTTAGGTCGTCGGTTCGCAAATTATTGGAAGTTAAAAATGCCCTAATTATCGCGTAATTTTTTGTAAACAAACATGCATTATGCGAGTTTGAATTTGGATAATGATACATCATCGACAATACTAAACACAAACCATGAATTTACTCCTTCATTTGTAAAAATGTGGCTTTTAAGTTTAAGATGTTCAAATCACAAACTTAAGTAATTCAGCGCTTATCAAGTTTGACCCTACTGACATAAAAAATGTTTATTCGAAACGTTATGTTTTAAGTACATACTCTTTCCCACAATTTATCATTATTCACTCCATTCATTTCAAGATGAACGAGATTCTCTAGACGCAAGTTAGAGGAAAACTTTTGAATCCTTGTGTGGCTTATATTGAGCCATGAGATGTTGGTTGAGAGATCCATAGACATTGAGCCGATCAAGATATTGCATATTTATCATTATCTTTTACGTTTCATACATTTTATGTATAACCGTTTTTACTATTTATAAATGTGCTTTGAAACATCAAGTCTTTTTATCATAATTTTCATATTGTACACTTTTACATATTTCAATACTCCAAAATTGTTTTGGTGTCTCATAATTTTTCTTTTTTTTTCAAAATTTTTTTTGAAATTATTTGGAAGATTACATCTTATTTTCGTAAATTTTTGATATATTTTCTTATTTATAACCAATTTTTATATTCTATCCAAAGTCGTGTCTTATCATATTTTTATCTTCTCACTTTTAACCATAAGAATTATAAAAAATGTATTATATGTTCACTCTTTGTAATGTCACTTTTCGTCTCTGTATATTTTCGAATATAATAATTTTAATAATATTCCATTTAAATTTAATATATAGCATTTTTTCCCGCAAAATTGAGGAGGTTTGATTTCTAATTTTTTGTAATAGTAAAATTAGAAAAATTTCAAAAAATGTCACTTTACAAAAATGCCACACTTTTGAAATCTTTACAAAAATGCCACTTTTTCAAAATTATTTTTTCTTTACATTATTTATGTTTGGGTTAATTATGTTCTATTAGGGTTTAGTTTTGAGTGTTTAGTGGGTTTTAGGTGTCAAAAACATTTTTTAGGGTTTAGAAATTTTAAGATATAAGCTTTATAAATCTATAATTAGTGGCATTTTTKTAAWTKWACACCCCTAAGTGGCATTCTTGCAGATGTGCACACAAAAAGTGGTATTTTTGTAATTGCCCCAAGTAATTAATTTTGTAAACTCAACATAATTATATCATACACTTTATAAAATATTAAATTACGTTTTATAAAGATGATAACTAATCTTTCTTACATTTTATTAACATGTTTATTTATTGTAAATTTTAAATAAAAAAAAGAAATCAAGCTGAAAATATTTGAAAATGAGCAAAAATATATAAAGCATAAACAAAATATAAGGAAGGAGGCAAAATATATGCCAAAGATGTTCGGGGACGGACGGTCAACAAAGAGTAAAGACCGCCCGCCTCCGAAGGAGATATCTAATTACCTAAACAAAGATTGTTGTCATGTGAGCTGTCGTTTGGCTGTGGATTTCATAATGAAGGTTCTCTATTTAGCCTCCAAATTCCAGAGTTGGTTACTTTGTAYCAGGTAAAACACTATCCACGAAGCACTTAATTCTAACTTCCATCATAAGACGAGTTTAATCTATCTTCCCCCTTTGCACTTAAGTCTTATACTTGCATTTTTCAGAGGCATTTACTAGAATTTGTAGACCATATTCGAAGAGAGGACATCTTGGTCATACTCGAAATTTCTAACATATGTGGGAAAGATTGCAAAAATTTGTTGCATATATGCATCAAAATCTTTGCTTAATCTGATGTAGACATATTTAGTCTTAAGAAATCCTTGCCCTTGCCAAATCAACACATTGTAAATCAAACCATTGACATCTGTAACTAGATTGGTTTGGAGACACTTGAACCAACCAAAACGTCTTGGGTATATATTAGGCACTTGACGACAAATATATTGAGCTAGTTAAGCTGATTCATACAGATGTCCACAATGTAGAAAATGTGTCTGCCTTATGATGTCTTCTATTACGATTTGAAAAACACACTGCGTTTCCTACACCTGCTGATTGTTGGTGTCAACCAAAAAAATCTTAGGGCTACACAACATTTCATATTGCTGCACTGCGGAAGGAACTAGAGTTGATAATGTCTTTGTTGACAAAATGGGCAATTGCATCAGAGACAACAGTTGTTGCTCGAATAGATCTACAGATAGCAAAACAAGTTATAAACAAAGTTGACTACAACAATATTTCAGAACCTGGAAAACAAAATTTTCGGAATTCGACTATGCATATAGATATTAGAGCAAGCAAACAAATAAAGTTATGGCCTATAGAAGCTTATCCTTCTAGTGTAATGGATGCGGACGAACTGAAGTAAAAATTGCTCTGTCTTGAAAACCAAGGTATCTCTTTTTCCAACATAAGCACAAATTGCAATGAGTGTTAGTCAGGTAGAGGGAAAATGCAAATTTGCAGTAGAGGATCCAAATATCGCTAAAATATTAAATTAGGTTTTATAAGATGTTAACTAATCGTTTTTTACAATTTTATTAATATGTTGTAAACAAGAAACAAAAATCAATGTTGAAATTTTGAAAAATGAGCAAAAATATGAAAAACATAAGCAAGATATGGGGATTTTTTTTACATATAAATTCAATTTAATTAAGATATTAAAATCAAAATGATAGTTTTTAACTACCAAATACATAAGAAAGTGACATTACAAGATGCTTCAAAATTTTAATTTATAATATGGTTATAAACTTCGTAAAATAAAAAGTATGAAAGTTTTCTAAATATATAAAGGCGTCAAAGTTTTCCTTTCCATTTTTTTACTTAAGTAGTTCCCTCAAGAAAACGTTTTTGAGTATCTTGTTATATATCACATTCTGATTAGTAAGTGAAAGTTATTTATCAATTAGTTGACTGTGTAATAGTGATAAAATAAAATAAAAAGATCGGAAAACTTCTTGGTGGTTGCATGAATATAATTTATCGAGTTCCAAATCTTATTGTTATCAAAATTCTAAAATTTAAAGGTAACTAGTAACTAGTCAGAGCCGTGCCTATTTAATACAAATTGAAACATTAGCTTAGGGCATCATCTCATTTCGTATTAAATTTAGGGGCATATTGACACATATTTTTATTGTATATGGTGTAAAGTTTGCTTTTCTTTTTACAAATGCCTATCTAAACTATATGTGGGTCTCTCAACCTTTGTACAAATAATATTCATATTCCCATCCTCGAAGAATACGATTTAAGATTCAACTAAACTATATTATAAAAATAATATTCGACCCCCTCTTGATTAAAAAAACAATTATCTGTTTAAGAGACCCTAAACCACCACATTTAGGAACTTGGACTCAATTCCGGTCGCGACCAGATAAGGCCAAAAGAAACAAAAATAATGATATCGTATCGTCGAACCATTCAAAGCGGTGGACACAATACAACACAAGAAAACTTGGATCAACGAGAAACCAAACCACAACGACTATCATCAGGAGAATCAGAAAGTGAATGTTCGAAAACAGAAAAAAGGGTTTTCTCAGTTTATCATCATATCCATTAAAGTTGCCTCCTTTTACTTTTTTTTTTCTCAGTCTCTATTGTCCAATCAAAAGAGTTGTGATTCTTCATCGCTTAGGGAATTTTTTCCCGGAGATGAACGGCGACGAGCTCCCTTTCGAGGTTTACTCTAAAGGAACGCACAAGTCCGAGTTTGACCCGATTTTACTTGATTCTGGTTCTGATCCTATTTGGGTTGCTATAAGAGAAGAAGCTAAGCTTGAGGTTTTTTTCACTCAATTCTAACACTTTCTCTGCATCATCGTCTCATTCTTATTCAGAAAACAGAAAAGATTCTTATGGTTTTGAGTCTCCATGTTTATCCATAGCTTCAGTTTCTCTTGTGTTTTGATTCTGAGGTTTGTATTATATTAGTAGTAACTTTGTCCATTAGGGTTTTAAAATAAGTGAGTCTTGTATGTTTGTTGAAACAGCCAAAACAGATATTCCTATCACAATTGTCTCGTTGAATGCTATAGTATTTAATCTGACCAAACATAGGATTGATGTTTCAGTTGTTGGGTTGGTGGAGTGAGTGTTAGACTTTCAAAGTTGTTTGATTTGATGAAAAGGAAGAAAGTTGGAGAATAGTGTCAGTGTTCTATGCTATTTTGATAGATTTTGCTGCTTCTGATTGCGAATTGTCGAATCGTATACAATGATGATGAAACTTGTTGTGGTAACAGGCAGATAAGGAACCTATTTTGAGCAGCTTCTTGTATGCTGGCATCTTGGCACATGACTGTTTAGAGCAAGCTTTAGGGTTTGTTCTAGCCAACCGTCTCCAAAACCCAACCTTGTTGGCAACTCAACTCTTGGATATATTTAATGGTGTTATGATGCATGACAAAGGTATTCAGAGTTCGATTCGCCATGATATTCAGGTAATAAAAACACTTGTCAAATACATGATCTTTGTTTGTTTTGAGGTTGTTTTCTTATGTGCCTCAATGATTTCAGGCATTTAAAGATCGGGATCCTGCTTGTCTTTCGTATAGTTCTGCTATTTTACATTTGAAGGTGA